GGTGGCTCATGCCTGTAGTCCCAGCTACTCGGGAGGCTGAGGCAAAAGGATCACTTGATCCCAGGAGTTTGAGGTTGGCTGCTGTGAGCTAGACTGACACCACGGCACGCTAGCCCAGGCAACAGAGCCATACTGTCTCAAAAAATAAATAAAAAAATAAATTAGAAGGAGTGATAAAACTGGAAAAATCAAAATTTTGCAAATATTAAAGACCGCCTCAGGGACAGGCACATTGGCTCAGGCCTATAATCCCAACACTTTGGGAGGCCAAGTATGGCTTGAGGCCAGGGGTTTAAGACCAGCCTAGGCAACACAGCGAGACCCCCTCACTATAAAAAATTTTTAAGTTGGCTGGGTGTGGTGGCACACATCTATACTTCCAGCTTCTTGGGAGGCTGAGGCAGGAGGATTGCTTGAGCCCAGGAGTTCAAGGATACAGTTAGCTTGACTGCACCATTGTATTCCAGCCTGGGGTACAAAGCCAAATCCGGTTTCTTTAGAAAGAAAGAAAGAAAAAAGGCTGCTTCAAATAAGAATCGATAGAACCTATATCTATGTAAAGTCTAATGAGTATCCAGATATCTGCATAATCTTAATGTGTCTCCCCACAAATAGTTTCTTAATTGCAGAAGGAAAAATACTAACTATATACTGAAGAAGCCAGACCATGCTTGGACCAGATTATCAAAATTAATACCACTAATAATGGGCAGACAGACACTGTGGGCCTTCAGATGACATATCTTAAAAAAGACACACTTATATTAATAAAATGTTCCAGCCAGGAATATATCACCTGAATCTCATCATAAGGACCTATCAAAAACTCAAACTGAAGAATATTTCATAAAGTAACTGGCCTGTACTCTTTATAAATGCAAAGTCATAAAACACAGAGAAAGGCTGAGGATATGTTACAAATGAAAGGAGACTAAGAGACATTACAACTAAACACAGTGAGTGATCCTGGACTGAATCTTGTACTGAGAAAAACAAATATGATAAAACACATTACAGTATTGGAACTGATGAAAAAAATCAGAATATGGACTGTTAAATTTTTCCCATTTGATAAATGTGCTGTAGCTACAGAAGAGGACACCTTTGTTCCAAGGAAATACAAACTGAAGTATTACCATGTAAACCAGTTTGAAAATAGTTAAGAAAACATAAGATGTGGCCGGGCGTGGTGGCTCACGCCTGTAATCCTAGCTCTCTGGGAGGCTGAGCCAGGTGGATTGCTCGAGGTCAGGAGTTCAAAACCAGCCTGAGCAAGAGCGAGACCCGTCTCTACTATAAATAGAAAGAAATTAATTGGCCAACTGATATATATATATATATAAAAAATTAGCCGGGCATGGTGGCGCATGCCTATAGTCCCAGCTACTCGTGAGGCTGAGGCAGTAGGATCACTTGAGCCCAGGAGATTAAGGTTGCTGTGAGCTAGGCTGATGCCATGGCACTCGCTCTAGCCTGGACAACAAAGTGAGACTGTGTCTCAAAAAAAAAAAAAAAAAAAATTAGATGCACAGAGAAAGAGATAATAAAACAAATTTAGCCAAATGTTAAATTCTCTCTATTGTTATTATAACTTTTCTGTAAGTTTGAAGTTATTTTAAGTCATTTAGTTTCAAAGGATATCTAATAAGAACAGACTAGTAATTCAGAATAGTTGTGGGTCTTCCCCCCCTACAATTATCAGATTAAATTTTTATTTTCCCTATAGACTACTTCATTTCTATATCCTAAATTGGATCAAAATACAAATACCAGATTTCAACCATTTGTTTAAAACTTTAAGAACTTTTGAAAGAAATTAATGGTACTTATTAAATATGAAAACAGAAAAAGTTATGCCTGTAATCCCAGCACTTAGGGGAAGCCAAGGAGGCAGGAGAATGGCTTGAGCCTAGGAGTTTGAGGTTACAATGAGATATCTATGATCACACCACTGCACTCTAGCCCATCTCTTTAAAAAAAAAAAAAAACTTGTTTAAATAGAAAAAGGATTTTACGCTAATTTTGGTGCACTTTGGGAATTTAAATTGATAGCTAGTACGCTTTTGTGAAATCTTCCTATAGAAATAGTTACAATGTGCAAGGTATATAATGTACACAAATGCTTAATATATACACTATAATTACAAAAAAAATGATGAAAAATCTAAATATCTACCACTGGAGAAATAGTTAAATTATGATACATCTACACTGTAGAATACAACATAGCTTTTAAAAAGAATGAAGTATATCATAAGTATAAAAATGTGGGTATGCTATATGATATAAATTGAACAAGAAAAGTTGCCAGATAGTAGTTAACAGATTATTTATATGAAAACCCAGAATTGTGTTAATGTGTTTTATGTGTCCAGAAACTAAGGCCTAAAAGGATGGACAGGAAATAGTTACCAGTGATTGCCCCTAGGAGAATGAGTGGGGGGGAGGGCACTATATAAATGGAATTTTTTCCCTAAAAGATCATGTTCTATTTCTACAATTTTAAAAAACTAAACACTTTGTGTTCTTAGAACTAAGATTGAAATGAACTTTGATGAAATATGACTCCAATGAAGAACATAAAATATAACTCTGATATCAGAACTATTAACATTCTCATTCATTACTTAGCTATGTAACAAGATATGTTCTTCTGTTCACGCACCTTTGTTCTATCAAGTTCCACATTTTTAGTTTTTAAACTAACAAAGCCAACAACTCCTTTCTGGAAATAGGTAAGATATTAATCTTATATCGAAAAATCCCTGGAGAACCAGAGAAGAGGAATCCAAAAAAAAAAAAAAAAAAAAAGAAAAGAAAAATCCTTGTTAACTAATGATAGTAACAAAAACTTAGAAACAAAAACAAGTACCCACACAACATCCTTAACAAAGTTTATCTGAGAACTTTTTTTTGAAACAGCATAATGACTGCAACTGACACACCAAAGTATGATCTAAAGGACATACTTTAAACTATATGTGATTTATGATAGTGGAGAGATGTAATAAATTGTTGAACTTTGAATTACCATCTTGTTATCCACTTTATGAATAAGAAAGACTGTCATCATTCAGGTTTCCTTTTACTAACAATATATGCAGGATTGTGTAAATACCTGAGAATTAAATTAAACAAATACTTATTACGTTGCTAGCACAGTATGTTCTAGACATTGTACTCAGGTGTCACAAAGACAGTCCCTAGTCAAAAGAACCTTACAAAACTGAAAAAAGAAAGTTTATTTAAAATTGAATACAATAAATAAAGACTACTTCCAGAACCTAAATACTCCTTTCATTAGGCAATTTGGGTGCTAAATTAACTTTCAGAATGTTTGTAATGTAGTTTTAAGTCATATTCAGGGTACATTTGTAATTAGTTGGAGATCATTCTCTCACTAGGATCACAAATTACAAACTTTGGTAAGCAATGGCTATATTCTTAAGTGGCAATCATTATTGAGATTGTCTTTATTCTCCTTTGCATATACGTCAACTCTAGGGATCCTTATGGAAACAATTACTTTCTCAGGCATCTAGAATATTATTAGGAACATTATCATCACAATTTATTAATATAAATCAAAAGGAATTCATTCCTCTGTTAACAGTGACCACATGAGCACTCTCAAACTCTCATTACCAGACAGTGAAACACAGGAGGAAATGTCTATGCTAAGCACCTTGAGAACACTGTTGTTTCTTTACCACAGTGTACTAAAGGAACTGTCAATTTTCACTCTTTCAACATTTCCTGAGTGTAACTGAGTCCCAGTCTTTGTACAAGGCTATGGGGGATGAATAGATTTGGTCTCTAACCTCAAGGAATTCACAATTTAGGGGGGAGAAAGATACACAAACAGCCTAGATGATGACATCATTAATGCCTAACTTTCAACATTCCAACTACTACTGATCCATTTTCAAAAAGCCTTGAGTTGTTTCCACAAGCACAATACATAGTGGAAAAAACAGTACTCCAAGGAAGAACTCTTGGTTTCACGTTTCTAACACACAGTAGCTGTGTGACCTTAGACTTGTCACTTCATCAGCTACCTCGTCTAAATAAGTCAGTATTACCTTATCAGCCTAAACCCGAATCATTTTACCAGCATAAACCAAAGTGTCTCTAGTTAGTGGCTCTCCCCGGTCAAAGAACCACAATACTCATCCAACAGATTCCCTACACAATCATGGCCCAGGGAATCACTGTAAGCTAGGTGAATTACAGTTCCTAAACCGTGATAGGCTTTAAAAGTTGGTAACTCACAAAATAAATATATTACAGAGATCAGGATACAGTCTTATAAAATGAACAATAACAATATTTTATCTGTGTACGATTCTAGTACAACAGCTGGGTGTATTTGCTACCCTGAATCCGCATTTCTGCACTACTAGAACCATCCCTCACAGAGAAATCAAGGAGACACCAGAAAAACCTTCTCAAGGAACAGGGAAAGATCCCGGATAAGCTAAAACAAGCTCCCCCACTCCCCACCCAAAAAAAAAAAAAAAAAAGGCCGTTTTTTTTCTTCCCCTCCAGCTATGCAGCTGCACCCAGCAGAGAAGTACTAGATTAGCATCATCTGCATTTCATTCCTTTTCTTTTGCAATAGCTACTCGCCTATAATAAACAGACCTTGTGCTCAGGGGAGAATTTACTTCCCCGTCCAGTAAAAATGAAGTTCCTTATTTTTACCAACAACGCCGGCTCCAATCAACACCCACCCTCCCAGGGGGTGGGTGAGACCAGGCACGCCTCTCCCCTTCACCCCGGCTGCAAGTCTGACGTCCTACACCCTAGAAATCGCCCCACTTTCCGAGCCCCTTCTACACGGGGGGCGAGGCTCCGGGGAAGAGCGGAAGAGGCCAGGGGTTGGCGTGCAGAGCCAGGGGGGCGTCCAGGCCGGCCCGGGCGTGCCAGGCTGCCTCAGCCGGCCAGGGGGCTCGCGGAGGCGGAAGGGGAGCGGCGAGCCCCGTGCCACCAGCACTTACCCACTTTGTCCTTCCCGTACATGTGCCCGGCCACCTGATGCGAGAGGGGCACGCAGCCGTTGAGGAAGCGGAGCCTGCTCCCCGCCGGCTGCGGGGTGCCCTCGGGGGTGGCCTCGCTCGCCGGTGGGGTCCGCATTTCTGGGGGGCCGGGAGCCTCGAGCCGGAGGGGGGATGGCGGCTCTGTTGCCATAACGGAGAGCAGAAGCGGTAGCGGTGGCCAGAGGAGGCAAAAATACGGCAAAGGAGGGGGCGCCGGAGAACCCGGGGGTCGCTCAAGCTCGGGCGCGAGGAGGCCCGGGGGTTCCCGCGACTGGTGCCCGCTGAGGCCCGGGGAGGGGGCCCATGACGCCGCGGAGGCGCGGGCGCTCCCCTGCCCAACTCTCGGCGGAGCGCGGCTCCGGGGACCGCTCCTCCGCTGCCGCGGCCGCTGGCCCGGCGCTGCCCAGGAGACGGAACCGAGCCGTGCAGCGGCGGCGGCAGCAGCGCCCCGCGCTCCCTGGGGCCCTGACGGCGACGGCGGCCCCGCCTCCCGCGCCCCCGCCCCCTCCCGCCGTCCTCCAGTCCCCTCAGCTGCCGCGCGCGCGTCAGCGCCGCCTGCACAGCCGCCGCCGCGAGCTTCCGACTGCGCGACCCGCGGCCGCCGCCGCTACTGAGCATGCCCAGAGGCCGCCCGACGGGACCCCCGCGGCGGGGCGGGCGCGCGGCGCGGCCGGGCCTGCGGACCGCGACGTGGACGCGGCTAGCGCCCTCGCGGGCCTCGTCACCGCCACCCTGGCTGGCGTTACGATGCTGCCGGGCCGCCGTGCCTCCATTCATTCCACGCGCGCCGGCGCGGGATCAAAGACCCCAGGGTCTGCCGAGTGTAAGCGGCAGGCAGGTATTAAGAGACGCGGCAGGCAGGGAGCGGTGCACGCTTGACTGCAGTCACTTCCCACCCCGCACGAAAACAGTAGAAATAAAAACAGGCAGCTGGTTAGAAGACGAGCCTTCAAAACACCTTCAAGTTCATCCTAGTGCCCCTCCCAAACTGCTCCCTCTAAGCCGCTCGTATAAAAATAAAAACTTTGGAACCCACACTAATTTCAGGCTGAGAAAGAAAATAATCCTAATTCTTTTTTTTAAAGCGAACAATTTTTTTATGAAGCAATGAGCAGGTTTTCTTCGCTCCGCACTCGAGCTCTAGATAGCGCAGGTGCCAAGGTCCTGAATAGACGGCTAACAAGGTGAAAGGGATGGATGCACACCGGAAGCTACGGGAGGTTCTGGAGTAGGACTCGATCATCGATTCCTGCCTGTCTGCCACTGGCATTTTATATGAGAACTGGACCTGGCCTTGCAGGTAAAATCAAACAAGAACTGAGCGAGAAAATTTGGCGTGAAATATTATATATCTGATTAAGGTAAGCGTCTTACTAGCACCTGCCCTCTGCCCCAGAAACACACACCTGGAAGAGACGTAAAATCTGGCCTGGACTCCCCATTCCCAGGGCCCCGCCCCTCAGGGTTGCGCAAACTCAGTTGCTTCCTCTCCAAATCTTCCGCCCCCCTCACCCCCCGCTGCTGCTGTCAAAATCCGGACTCGACTTCCTTAAGGCCCTGGGCACAGCTCCACGCATGCTCAGAATTAGCCGGGGTCGATCTCGCACACACGTGCTTACGGCCCGCCGCGGCGCCTGCGCGGTAGCAGCCTGGTGTCGGTGCGCTTAGGACGCCTCTCGCGCCTTGGCTCCCGCTGTCCGCGCGAGCCGGTTTGTGCCCAGTGCCCTGTGCACACGCCTTGCAAGCGACGGCGCCATGAGTCTGACCAGTTCCAGCGTACGAGGTGAAGTGGGGCCTGAGGGCGAGAGAGGCTAGCGGCCTGCGCACCGGTTGCAGCGCCCGCGGCTCCTCTGGGTTGTTGGCGCTGCGCTCCGCGCCCTCCGGTCCGATAACCTTGGGATGCAGAAGGGCAAGCGCTCGGCCCAGCTGCGGGCTGCGGGCGGGCCAGGGAAAGGGAGCGAGGGAAAGGAGCGGATTGGTGGTGTCACCAGGCATTAGTGGCGTGGGGCCGTGCAGGCATGTTCCCTTCTCTGGTCCACGTTTTGCCCTAACTAGCCAAATCCTAAAGCCTCATGACCCCGCTGCTCGCTTTTCTTGTTCTAGCCTTAAGTTGCTTCAATATCCTTAATTCACGAGGCCGGGAGGCCGGAGGGAGGAAAGGATGGATGGGAGAGTGGGAAACAGGTTCTCCCTTCTCACGTTTAAATCGGCGTGGAGCCAAAACGTCGATTTCCTGCAATCCTGAAGCGATGCATGACTAATCACATCTTAGTTTTACAGATTTTTTTTTTTTTAAAGGGAAGAAACCCAATCCGAAGTCTTCAGTTTTCCCAGTTTTTTATTATGCCCCTGGCATCTGGCGCTCTGAGGCGGTAGTCCAGGGTGGAGGATTGAGAACGGAGTTTCTTGAGCCTTCGGCTTTCTCAGCCATGCTTCCCTTGTGCTAGTACCTAGTATTCGTAAACAATACTTCGCAGAAAGTCCAGTAAAAATCAACAGAATTTACAGAAGTCGTTTAGTGTGGAGTTTACCTTTATAACAATTCTTGGTGATGTTATAATCATTAATATAATACCGTGTGACCAGCAACAGGATATACGTGATCTCTCTGCCCAGGTGTAAAACGCCACTCCCCAAGGTTTGGTTACCTGTAACAGTAGTTGAGTAAAGGTAAAGAGATTGTCCAGAAGTTAAAATAGCCCCGTTGATTCATTCAGTAAATATTAATCATCTATAGTGCCGGGTTCTGTAAAAACCTGTAAAAAGTCCCTACTAATTTGAACCCTAATTTTCTAATAGGTAGATTCCATAAATTGGAAAGTTCCATTTCTCTTAATAAAATTTACCTGGCAGAATTAGGGTGATAATCCATGACATTTCTGAGTTACTAGTGATAAAGAGGTGATTATTTGCATAAATTATTAATAGTGATTTTTTTTGTTTGTTTAAAAAAAACATTTTCTTGGGATTAAGAGGATTGTGTGAAATGAGATGTTCATGTGACTTGTGCTGCTGACAATTTTTAATTTTACAGGAAAACTGCACATGTTTGAGGTAGGCCAAAAGATGACAAAATGTGTGTTTGTCAAAAACTTGGGATTTTTTTGTGTGTGCATGAGCACTGAATTCTGTTCAGGTCGCATACTATTGAAATGTGAAGTTGGTGAACCCCTAGAACTTATCACTAGCAGTAGTGAACTTATTAGCTGCAGTGACTTTTTTTGCAATCAGTACAAGGTTTTTGTTCTTGAAGTCTAACCACGGGGGACTTCAAAGGCAACTTTCCCATTAGTTTGCCATTGTCTAAGGGACAGTAAATTGCATAATGAAGCAGATTATTAGCTTCAACTTGAAGTATTCAGCTTTGTTATGAGGAGTAACTATATTTGACCATAAAGGTAGTTGTGAGGACTGTAGGCAGAGGGCCAAAGCCATTGTAAATCTCTTCTACCTGCACTTTTCCCCTCAAACGTAGTGGTAGGTGAGGTAGGGACTGTCTTGGAAATGTCCTAGAGAATGTCTTGGGAACCTACCTACAAATGTTTAGATCTCATAAAAATTTGGTTCTACTTTCAGTTTTTAAACTGAACCCTTATTCGTTCTTACAGGTTGAAAATCAATTTAGTCTTTTAATTTGGGGGAAGATGATCATGTCTTTTCTCAGTTAAATGAACTCATAAAAGGCTTAGAATGGTATGTCACAATGGTAAACACTAAATGAAAAATAAAAGAATGTATATAGGCATGCAGAATTCTTATTTTTATTCAGAAGAAAAGTAATGGGTAGATTATAAATAAAACTTAATGGGACCAGGCCAGGATTGCACTCAGGGAGAGACATTGAGAATCAATGATTGGAATTGAAATCATATCAAAGATCAGTGTCATTGAGATGGCTGTTGATACCAGTACGGTAGATTCAACCATTAGTTTTTGGGTTTTTTTGGGGTTTTTTTGTTTTTTTTTTTTTTTGAGACAGAGTCTCACTTTGTTGCCCAGGCTAGAGTGAGTGCTGTGGCATCAGCCCAGCTCACAGCAACCTCAAACTCCTGGACTCAAGCGATCCTTCTGCATCAGCCTCTGGAGTAGCTGGTACTACAGGCATGCGCCACCATGCCCGGCTAATTTTTTTTCTATATATTTTTAGTTGGCCAATTAATTTCTTTCTATTTTTAGTAGAGACGGGGTCTCGCACTTGCTCAGGCTGGTTTTGAACTCCTGACCTTAAGTGATCCACAAGCCTCAGCCTCCCAGAATGCTAGGATTAGGCGGGAGCCACCACGCCAGCCTCAACCATTAGTTATGAACATATCCTACTCCCAAGCTGCCTCCAAAACTCATTGACTCTACTCTCATCCTAACTCCTTCCCTTCTGTTTGAAAGGAGAGATAACTCTGAGCCATTCTCTCTCTCTGTCCTCCAGATGCCCTTTCTTCGCTTCCTTAAACTTTTACCTATCCAATGCCGTTGCTTTAAATCTTTAGCCCTCCTAAAGGTTTTCTCTCAACCTAAAGCCACTCATAACCCCATCTTAAAAAAAAAAAGAAACCAACTAACCCAAATATTTAAAAGCCTTCCTTAACCTGCCTTCCCTCGAATCACTTCTTTCATACTTTGTTTACCCTCCAGTTACAAAAGGGGATTTGTCTGTCCACCTTATGCTTTGTATCCATCCCAAACCCCATCATTACAATGCATGTAACCAAAATCACATTTCAAAATTCTTACTGACTTTCATATCCTTGTGCATTGTATTGAAACTAACCATAAATTTCTAGTCACTTAACCTCAACAGTAAAATATTGTTTGGTTCACTAAATCATTGAATCATTAAAAGTAACTTAAGGATTTTTATCTGAAGGGAATGTGTGGATCATACTGAGAATAATGGTGATACTCTATAGGTTGTAAACAATAAATAAATAATGAAGGTGTGAGATTGGAGCTAATGAAACAATATGCTATCAGTTGATGCTTCTTGGAGCTAGGTTAGGGTAAATGGGGTTCATTATAGTATTACCGAATATGCCTGAAATGTTCCATAAAAGGTTTGTTGGTTTGTGGCATAAAACAAAAATCTATTCCCTCATATTACTGGTGCCAGAAGTCTGAAATCAGTATCACTGGGTCAAAACCAAGTGCTGCAGGCTTGCTCCTTTATCAGGAGCTTTTGGGAGAATCTATTCTTTCTTCTTTCTTCGCTTCTCTTGCTTTCCTTCTTCTCTTTTTTTTTTTTGTAGCAGGGGTAGGAGGGAGGGTGAAGGGAAACTCAGAGACCATTTCTTGTGTCTTCCAGCCTCACAGGAAGTAAATTCTGCACTTTTGGTACAATAGGTTAAGAAGAGGGCAAAGTTAATTTAAGGCATTTGGTGTAAGAGTGATACAATGGTAAGATGGATAGATGGCATTGCAAATTCAAATTACTCATCCATTATTTCCTTTTACTCAAGTAACATGGAATACATATGAACAATATCTTTGAATACCACCTGTGTGCTGGGCCTTGAGGAAAAAAAACATTACCAGGCACAACCTACCTGTCTGTGTGTGGGAGAGCTAAAGGAGGGAAGGGTTTAAACACAGCTCCCCTCCCCCTCTCCTGATGGAAGAGAAGGAACATTCTGATTCTGTGGCAGTTGACAGTGGGCAGAAGAAGGCAGTTTGGGGCAGAAAACGTGCTAAGGGAAAAGAAGTAGAGTGAGATTTCTGAATGAAAGCAAAATAATCCCATGGTAAACAAAGGCCAAGGATGAGGTTATGAACGAGGGTGTGTGGTTTGAGAACAAATCCATGTTTTCTCTATCTCTGAATAATTATTTAAGAGAGAAAACCAAAGATTATACAATAGTAGGCCAAGGGAAGGGTACAAAGTGGGGGATTATTTAGAAATGTTACCTTTCTCTGTATTTTTGGTCTTTAATGGTATTTATATAGATAGAAAGCATTGTTAACCAAGGTCTGGTAGGGTGGGGTTTGACCTAACTACAGGAATAACTGTCTGGGAAAAGAAAGTGAGGATAAACCATAAGAGGCAGAAATAATGCTCAGGATTTTTTTGGCCCCAGTTCTCAATCAGTATCTGAAAGGTGCCAGCTGAAATATCTTTAAAAATTGGGTCTTGGTAAAGTCCCTTGTTGCATCTGAGATTGTGACTATTCTTAATAGGCATATACCCTATCAAGGACTGAATGTTACTTGGGTTTTTTTCATTTTTACTTGTTTCGTTTCTTAGGTTTTCAGTTCTTTCTCTATCCTAATTGTTGACTTTTGGATCTGTCATCATTTTTCTTTCTGTATAGTTCCCCTTTTTACCCCTAGAGTTGCCAGTGGTATTCATAGCTTTTTGCCAGAAAAGACTGCTTCAGGCAGCAGTCATAAAGTGATAAAATAGCAACATTTTTCTTCTGGGAACTCTTGCATTTGCCCCTAATGAGATTAGAGAATTAGAATTTGGGAAAGGGAGGGGGGAAGAGAAATGGAAATTCTTATGACCTTGGAGCAAATGCAAAGCTATTTCCTAGCACTCATATGGTACTGTGGAATTTATGTAGGGTTGTAAGTGACCCTTGGCAGGGGGATAGGGTCAAAGAGTGCATGTTTTGATTCCCCATGGGGCAACTGCTCTTGGTCAGTTACCATTTCTTTCAGTGATGCCTTTGGTGTTGCCTCTTTTCCATGTCATTTCTTCCACCATCAGAGAATCCCAAGGGAGATAAAGTTTTTTTTTTTTTTTTAAATGTCACTAAATGGATGCAGTTGATAATTTGAGAAAAGAGAATAGAAAGATGTTTTAATGGCTAGGAGAGATTTCTTTTGACGTTTCTCGTGAGTTTCACATAGAAATTCCTATAGGGTTCTCTTTTTATATCTTGAAACAAATTAATACTAGCCAATTGTGCTTGTTCTTTGGATCTCAGAACTTTTTGCAATAGATAGGCACCATTCAAGCATATATGTTAGAGAGTATTTCATAATTCACCTAAAAAGTAAAATGTAGCTAAAATCAACATTTAGGGAGTTGGTATTTTAGTCTTTTGAGATATTGCCCCCTTTTAAGTTTTTACTAAAGGCTACATTCAGCAAACATTGAGCATTGAGCATATACTATGCAAAGCAATGTTTTTAGCCCATTCTGTGATAGGCATATTAGCTATTCAGAGTGGCTTTCCATTAGCTAAGAAGAGGATTCTCCTAACATAGAGAATATTTTCTCAAGAAAGGTCCGTGATAAATAATGCTTCAGAAAGGAAGACTATGAATCTAGCTAAAAAAATCACAGCAAAGTTGTAGCCCTGCTTGGAATTACCACAGGGAAACACCATGAAGCAGCACTAAAATTCAAGACAAATCTACACAAAATGAGTACCTTCTTGAAAAATGACCTCTGTTGAGGTCAAAGGTTTGAGACTGGGGGGAGGGGAATGGGCATTTATTGAAACCTTAAAATCTGTACCCCCATAATATGCTGAAATTAAAAAAAAATTAATAAAAAAAAGGTTTGAGGCTGTCAAATGACTTATTAACTTTTTTCCCCAGTCATGCAGCACCTGGAAAGGACCAAAATATTAATGTTTATTTTAGGGGATTATAGCAAGGAGGAATAGAAATGCTGTGAAAAGGAAAACAATCTAAAGAAAAATACTACTATGGTTGAAAATGGAATCCAAGGAACATGTTAATTAGAAACATTTGACAAAATCTAAACTGTTAAATGAACTAGAAGAGTAGAGCAAGATAAAAGAAACTAAGTGTGAGAATTGTTCCCTTCCATTAGAGTTTTGTGAAAATGAGCTCCAATTTTCTGTAAGGCACTATTAGATATGGTGATTGATCCCACTGGTGAAAATAAGAAATTTGACTCAATAGTGCAAATAAGCCATCCAGTAAATTATTCATTGTGTGTTTTTATTTGGCCTTGGAATGTGGGTTTTTTGGGTTTTGTTTGGGGGGTTTTGGTTTTGGTTTTGGTTTTTTTGTTTTTTTTCCCTGTACTTATCTCTCTAGGGTTTTATTTGATAGTCTGGGAACTTATTTCAAACACTGTGAAGATCTGACTCAGGAAGTGCTGGGAAGCAGTCCAGTGTGTTTATCCTGACCCTTGTTCAACTTCTTCCTACAGCCCGCTCCATGCTGGGAATACTCAACTCTCCTCTGAGGCTGAGGCTAACCAGATTATGCTGAACTTGCTTCTCTCCAACATTGCCTGGAGCTGGGTTTCTAAGGACTCCTTTAAAAGCTACACAAAAAGAATAGATGGCTTGTTAGTCAAATAATTTTTTTTATTATTAGATAGGAGAATAATGTCATTATTAGGTTATTAAGTATGAAATGTCCAATCTCCTTAAGTACTGTGTTTGATAGTTGATATCTCTGATGTTTCACTTTAACACTTCTTGTTTTATTTTTATTGTGAAGGTATATCTTCAGTCTTTCAAACACATGTTTTGGCTTGTGATTATCTTTCACATTTTTTTAAGAGCAATTTTTGTTAAAAATGGATAAGTCAAAAAATCATGTTATTTTCAAATATGAGTTATATTGTGGAACCAATGCAGTACAGACAGCTCGAAATATCAACGAAGTGTTTGGGAAGGATGTGGCTAATGAATGCGCAGTAGTACATCATGGTTTGAGAAGTTCTGTTCTGGAGATCTTAATCTTGAAAGTGAGCCATGTGGGCAACCTGAGACCAAGGTGGATAATGATGAGCTGAAAGCTGTAGTGGAAGCGAATCCATCTCAACCTATGTGTGAATTAACAAGGTTTGGCGTTATTATTCCAACAATATTGGACCGTTTGAAACAAATCAGCAAGGTATAGAAGTTGGATAAGATGACTACCACATGAATTAAATGAGCATCAGAAGAGAAGTCATTTTGAAGCTTGCCTTTCTTTGTCATGACATAAAGATGAGCCATTTCTATACCATATTGTTACATGTGATGAAAAATGGATTCTTTTTGACAGCCTCAAGCATTCGGCACAGTGGTTGGATAAAGAAGAAATACCCAAACACAGTCCAAAACCAAATATTCATCAAAAAAACCTAATGGTGTCTGTCTGGTGGTATAGCACTGGTATTATCCACTACAGCTTCATGAAACCTGGTCATTTGATTACAGTGAATGTCTACTGCAATCAAGTGGACAAAATGATAAGGATGCGATTACAGGCCAGTCTTCTTTCTTGCAAGACAAGGCTCGACCTCATGTGGCACACACAATGCTGCTCATACTACAGAGGCTGGACTTGAAAGCTGTCTGTCATCCACTGTATTCACCAGACCTTGCACAACTGACTACCACTTCTTGCAAGGAAAAGTAGTCAATTCTCAACAAGCTATAGAAAACACCTTTTGAGATTTCATCACCACTGGCTTTCCAGGCTTCTTCACTTCTGGCATAGATAAGCTACTGTTGAGATGCCAAAACTGTGTTGATAATTCAAGCGCATAATTTGATCCATTGTACTGCTTCTTGTTTGAGATAATAAAGTACACTTTTGATTAGAAATCGGACATTTCATATTTAATGATCTAATAAATTTAAAATGAAGTACATAGAGAATTCAAATAAATTTAGAATTTATTAAATGGGAATGTAGTTGTAATTATATTAACCATGTTTATGAAATTAATGAGAAAGCACTTTGAAATTTTATAAAAAACAGACTTTTGAATGGCCTTGAAACCTAGAATCCTGCTAGGTATATCCCTTTGAATGTTTAACATTAGGGTGGTTTTGTATTATATGTCATTTTCTTTTCCTTTTTTTTTTTTAATTTTTATATACCTTATTTTTTTCTTTTTCCTTCTGAGACTCAAGTTGGAGTATGTGTCCTTTTTTATTTTTTCTCTTTGGATACCAGTTCTCTTGTAGCTTTATGCAATAGTTGAGTTTTGGTAAATTAAATCATTTAAAAATTACTAAGGGACCTTCTGTTTTAAAGGACTATGATGAGTCATTTTGTTAACATAATCACCTTCCAATTTTTTTGTTTATAATCTGAATTTTCATGTTTCAGGTGTGTGTATTTTTTTAAGCAATAGGTACCTGCAGACTCACATGTTATTTAAAATCTCTATCTATAAACACTTTAAAAAGATTATTGAGCTTGTTTTTTTTCCTCCAGCTATAGAATAATTTTCCAGTTTGCCTTTTATAAATTATCTGTCATCACTAAATGGAAAATACACAATTGCTCAGTAAGGGCTGGGGACAATCTACAATCTTAACAAACAACTATTACACCAGTGTGTTCTGGTCATTTTATTAACATTAAAATCCTTGAACTGTTGGAATACTTAATGCTCAAAAACTGGATTTTCTGAATATTCATATAGAGTATTAATGTATGTTTTGATTTTGGTAATTATTCCTGTTTTCTTTCCCTGCTCTAGTTGAATGGATTGCAGCAGTCACCATTGCTGCTGGAACAGCTGCACTCGGTTATCTAGCTTATAAAAGATTTTATATTAAAGATCATCGCAGTAAAGCAATGGTAAACCTTCACATCCAGAAAGACAACCCCAAGGTAGTACATGCTTTTGACATGGAGGATTTGGGAGATAAAGCTGTGTACTGCCGTTGTTGGAGATCCAAAAAGGTGAGCAAAAGAATTACTTTATACAGTGCTATTTTTCACATTTCTTTTGAAACCATTCTATCAAACTTGTATCACCAGATATCGTTATGATATTCCTTTTTCTTCTTTCTTTTTTAATAGATCCTTTTCTTCTTTGTTTTCCATATACCCTTAAGGAATATATTTACTAAAATATATAACCACTTTATAGTAAAATTACATTGTATCCTCCTTGAGTTTGGGCAAATTTAACCATATTCTTGGCCCAAGAAAGGAGAAAAATCCCTCTAACTTACTCTTAGGATTTCCTCTCCAGGTGGATCTTAGCTTCCACTATCCCAAAGAAGAGAGTGGGTAGACTAATTGCAAAGAGAAACAAAGGAAGTAATTTCCTTTTTTGAGTTTTCAAGCTCTGGATACTAAGACAAGTTTTAGAAATTTCAAAAGAAATTTTTTCTTAAATTACCCAGAAACTTTTTATCTGGTAAGTAAATAAGCTACCTTTCAGTTGCAGCTCCTATAGTTAAATATTTAAAAACATAGAATTCTTAAAAATAATTTTCTTTTGTAAGAATTACATTTTTGTTGGAAGTGTTATCTATAATACCTGCAGGTTTTAGACATGATGACAGCCAGTGACCCAAAGATGGTAAAATCCTTTCCCAAGCTTATCTCAGAAGGATCTGTACAATGAATAACTTCAAGATTTTTGGTGTATTGTGAGAAAAATGGTGTAAACTCTGTATATACTGTCACTATTACCATTCAAATAAAATGGATTTCACCAAAAAAAGAAAGAAAGAAAACATTAAAAGGCCCCCCAAAATAAACAATAATATGATGTATCTACTTCTGAAAGCACATTATATTGTGGGGTCTCTTCCTACAGTGGAAGGCCATTTTCATGAATCACATGTAACAAATATGGAAGAAACCAAATACTACCTATTCTTTGAGCATCCCTAATCTGAAATACTTCAAACTCTGAAAATTTTTTTCTTCTTTTTTTTTTTTTTTTAATGTTTTAAAGGCAGGATCTAGCTCTGTCACCCAGGCTGAAGTATAGTGGTGTGATCATAGCTCACTGCAGCCTCAAACTCCTGGGCTCAAGAGATCCTCTCATCTCAGGCTCCCGGATAACTAGGACACATACCATTGCTTCTAGCTAATTTGGGGGGGGGGGGGTATTTGTTTGTTTAGTTTTTTATAGAGACAGAATCTCACTATGTTGCCCAGGCTGATGTCAAATCCCTGGCCTCAAGCAATCCTCCCCCCTCAGCCTCCCAAAGTACTAGGATTACACGAGTGAGTCACCATGCCCAGCCCAAAATCCAAAACTTTTTTAAGTACTGATCTGACATGCCACTAGTGGAAAATTTCATACCTAACCTTATGTGGCACATTGTGAGTCAAAGTCGAAACACAAGTTCATAACACACAGTTAATTCAACATCCCCAAGGGAGAAAAGCTTCCCTCAGTCCCCTTCAGCTGCTGTTGTTTAACAGCTAATAGAGGTATTCTAGTGATGCTACTATGCTGCTTAGTTACTCTGGATTATGTTTTTTCACTGTGTTAATGATATGTCATATATTTTACGCTTATGTGTGAATAAGGGTAAAGAAATGATTGCTTATCAGTAGCATATAAATTCAGAGTTATGAATGATGGTAACACCAAACAGCCATAGATTGTCCACATGGGTGGCTGAAGTGGGTGACATAATGTATGCCAGTGTATCCAGAAACTCTTTGATGAATATATGCAATATGAACCACAAATTAATAGGCCCATTTCAACTAACTGTACCTTTAAAAAGCAGTGTTCATTTGGAATGTGGGATTGTTAGTAAGTACTAAGCAGGGTAGCTAGAAAATAAATTGTCAATAATGTGCCATAGACTGGTCCAGGTTTGTTTTTTTAAAACTGTGCCTATAATAGGCTCCATTTTCTTGTTGATGATTGAAACATAAGAAGTAATGCATCTAGACATTAGGTTAGTCAGTGATCTTAAATTCACTGTCTGCTATATATGAACACATGAGAAAAGTTAAATTGTAAAACATCCAGTGTTATAGATGTGTATAGTAGATGTATTAAAAGTGCTCTAAATAAATGGAAGATAAAAGGAAGGGATAACACTGTGGGCTAGAATTTTGGGGGAAAGCATAGTCTTAGACTTTGCTCTGAGAAAAAATGGTGGCATTTGAATAAACTGCAAGAATTGAGGGCTCATTCTCAAAATCTGTAAGAAAGCACTCATAAGCAAAGGTGAGAAGGATGAAGAATCTAGTCTGGTCCTTGCACTCCTTCCTCCTAGGAATAAGTCTAAATTGAGGAGGATCTCAAGGGCCTGTGTGAGGAGTTTGTGTCTCCAGGCATGGGAGAGCTCTTTGGCAGGGGGTTGAGACAGAGTTGTGATACTTAAACCAGGGTGCTCGCTGTGGAAATGGAGGCAAATGAGCAAATACATGAAACATTTTGAGGGAAGGATCAGCCAAATGAAGTGACTTTTATGTAGGAGATCGAGGGAGAAAAACTAAAGCTCATTGAAGGATCTAAGCATAAAGGATTAGAAGAGGATAGTGCAGTCAACAGAAATAAGGAATTCAAGGTGAAAGCTAATTTTAAAGGACAGTGATAAGGAGTTCAGTTTTCAAAGAGTGGATTTGAGGTGACAGTTGAATGGAAATGTTCACATGAGCTGAAATGGTGGATTAAAGCTGAGACATCAGGGTTGGAGATAGAGATCAGCAAAGCTGATGAGTCACATGTAGGAATGCAACTGATCCTTGATGCAGATAAAAACCAAAGGCAAAGTATGAAGTCTGGGAGAATGCTCTGCATTTGAAAAGAGGAACAAGAGCCATTTAAGAAGATGGAATGGTCTAGAGAGATTAGAATAAAACTAAAAATATTATGGCTTCAAAGTGGAAAAGGGAGCAGTTTCAAAGATTAAGTACTGAACACTGGCCTGTGCAAAGACAACCAGGTGAATAGTCTATTATAGTAAGACTGTTAGAGTATGCAATTGTCCTTTTGGTGTCATTTCAACAGAGTAATTAATTAGAAGTGGTGTCCAAGTGGGTGAAGTGTGAATTAACTAATAAAGAAATGCCATAAGTCTGAGTGTATGTCAGATTTTCAGTAAATGTAATAGTAGATGGAAAGAAATAAGGTAATTGCTTGAGTAACCACTAAAGCTTAACTTTGAGATCTGGTAAAGGGTGTTTGCTTTGATTGTGTCTTCCCAGAGGGTAAAAAGTCCAATAAAGTAAATAAAGACTTTAATGAACTAAGATTTCAAGTATTTCAGGAAGGATCACAAATGGACACAGGCTAGTGATTTAACGATTTATTAGACTTTCTAATTCAACAAAACATTCCAGGATTATTCCTTCCTTTTAACAATTAGAATTTCCAAGTGGTTAGACTAGGGATTGCCATTTCCTATAGGTATATTTTAAGAGAAGGAATGAATGCCAGACCATTTTATCAATATTTTTTCAACGTCTTTTTTTTCCCCTTTTATGCCATTTAGTGATCATTTTTGCATCTAGGATTGGCCAGTTCTGAATTTTCACTGAATTTTGGGCATTTATTATTCCTACATGAATCAATTAAGAGTTCATTTTGACCATTATTCAAGTTAAGGAATGTTGTTATTCTTTAGACACCTTTGGAAACTCCCTACATTCCTGAGGTTCCTAATGTTATCACACAGGTGCTAAGTCACACACTTACATGCCAGTTCACAGAAGACTTGTAATTAATACCTTTGAGTGGCTATATTGAGTTTATATTCAATCATTTTTTCCCTCATACAAACCAGTTAAAGTGTAATCACAAGTAGCCTATTGTGTGTCTTCAACACTTTGAGCAGATTTCCCAAACCTAATGCCTAATGAATCAGATCTCTTAGTAATACGCAGAAATTGCTTTTTTTTTTTTTTTTTTAGCACACCCCATTTCTCTTCTCCTCCTCCTCCCAGGATTGATATGTCCTCTGCTGTTTCAGAAATTGGCCTATTTCATAGTACAGTTTTCCCTCATATCTGTGGATTGGTTCCAAGACCTTCCCCAGGTACCACAATCTGAGGATACCAAAGTCCCTGATAAAAAGTGGTATAGCATAATACCTAATACAATGTAAATCCTATATAAATAGTTGTTATACTGTACTGTTTAGAGAATAATGACAAGAAAAAAAATGTGTACATGTTCACTACAGACACAATTTTTTCTTTCCCCAAATATTTTCCATCCACACTTGGTTGAATCCATGGACACGGAACCCGTGGATACACAGCAGGCCAACTATATTTCACAAGAGGGCTGTCTGTATTTGAAGTGAGAATGAAAGGAGTCAGTAGAGAAGTTATTAAAGTGACTGCAGGGAAAGGTATTACTGAGACAAGGGTGTCTTGACAGGGGTGGAAGGAAAGAGTAAGAACACAGATGTGAAACTCAGCCTTAAGAAGGAAGATAGTCTTAACTTTCAAAACAAGATGAAAGAGGGAAGAGTATGGGACCTAGTCTTGCTAGATTCCCATCCCTCCCACCCATCTCAGGTAGGTTACATCATTTGCTGAGACACATGATGGCCACCTAGGAAGCTGGGGAGAGTTTAAATAAAGACAGAAAAAGAATGCAGACTAAGAAATAAGAAAGAGGAAAACCTTGCCAGTTAACATCAGGAGCTCAATTGAAATGGAAATGAAATGTGACATGACGGTACAATGTAGAATCTTTTTCTTCCATATACAGTTTTAAGATTTTTTTTTTTTTTTTTTTTTGAGACAGAGTCTCGCTTAATTGCCCAGGCTAGAGTGAGTGCCGTGGCGTCAGCCTTGTTCACAGCAACCTCAACTCTGGGCCTTCAAGGGATCCTCCTGCCTCAGCCTCCCTCAGTAGCTGGGACTACAGGCATGCGCCACCATGCCCAGCTAATTTTTTCTATATATATCAGATGGCCAATTAATTTCTTTCTATTTATAGTAGAGACGGGGTCTCACTCTTGCTC